AGATAAAAGACTGAAGTGGAAAATGAGAGTCCGGAGAAGCCCCGGACGGCTCGGGGCGCTAATGGAAACACATGGCTGCCGGCTGCGGGCTTGTCAGCTTCCCCGCGCTGCCATTCCCGTCTGATAATCCGGCCTGCCATAAAATTAGACTAGCAAATACCTCCTGACAAAGATGCATGTTTCTCTCTATTGTGCCATCATAAAAAAAACTCCGCTGGTGACTCGGGGAGCCGCAAACTTCAATTTAAATTTACAGTGCTGCGGAAGGAAAGTGATATGCACTCAAAAATTTTAATAACCTATTAAGTTACGACTTCAATTTCATTTTATGAATATTTTCCTTGGGGAGCACGGCTATCACAGAGAAAGATAGAAATTTAAAAAAGATAAATAGTGCCATTAATCTCCAACATTTCTCTTCCATTATCCTTGAAAATTAGGAGTTATTTTTGTTCAGATCTTCATGTAATTAGCTCCCTCCACTTGATTCACTAGCCAGAAAATGACCATGTTCAGAAAATTAAAAATTTGTCATTAAGTGGAATTTAACATAATATCATTTATCTTTATCTATTCCCCAGCTGACAGCAGGAAGCCTTGGCTGCCTCACCGGCTGGTGTGTCAGAGTGGGGGGGACGGTCAGGAAGAGATACTGGGAGAGACAGAGATGAGGTCGGGGGAAGAGAAGGCCAGCGGGCAGCCAGTCAGGAGTGAAGAGGGAAGGGCAGAGGCCCTGGCACTGCGGGGTGCAGGGAGGAGGAGGTGGAGCCCAGGCTGCTGCTGTCTGGCCCAGAAGTGGGGCAGAGAGGAGTCAGGGCAGAGAAGCCTAGAGGGCCAGCTGTGGACCCAGGTGCTGTGCTGAGAGGAAGGCGGCTTGCTCAGGCCAGGCAGGAAGTGACTTGGGAAGACTGAGACCCAGCAAAAGTAAAGGAACTTTCGGGAGCAGGAGGCTGGGAGTGAGTGGGAAAGTTTGGGAAGCACAGCTCTACTCATCCAGGGGGACCTTGACCCTAGAAGCCCCGCCTCCGCCTGGCTGCAGGGAAAACAGAAGACAGTCAGAGTGTCAGAAGGGGCTGCAAAAGCAGTGAGAGCCAGGAGGTGGGCGGAGAGTGGGTGCCTATCAGCAAGGCCAGGGAAACCCAAAGGGGGAAGGAAATAGGACACAGATAGAAGGGCCCCCTAACAGGCTCTGGGAGGAGGGCTCCCAGACAAGCCCTGATAGACCTCTCTCCTCCCCACTCCTGTAGAGCCCCCACCCCGCTTCCCCCACCGCAGGTCAGAAACAGTCTAATAAACCATCCAAGCCCAGTCCTGGGTGGAAAGAGCAGTGGCCAAGCCTGAGAGACTGAGAATTGGATAAAGGGATTAAGCGGCAGCACATTAGTGAGAGATTTAGAGTGTAATAAACCCATTTCATAATAATATGTGCGTTGGGGCCAGTGATCCATCATCGCAGGAGGCTGTCCGCGGCGGGGGGACACTGACCTGCGTGCGGGAGGGGAGTTGGACAGATGGCTGAGGCCTTTTCTCAGGGCCTTGGGATTTGTGCAAGGGGTGCTGACCAGCCTCTTGGGCCAGAAGGGGCCCAGGGAGGCAGGGGCCTTGGGCTCAGATGTCTACCAATCAACCTGAGGAGCTGAAAACCTGGCTCCAGAGATGCCCGAGCTTCTGCCCGGGCCCCTCAGTAAGGCCAGGAAGGTTGGGGCAGGATTTGGATCAAGTCCCTCTCTCCCCTACTGGCCACCCATGCTCTCCTGGAACTCCCCCAGCCACGAGGCCACATCCTTTGGCACGTCTTCTCTCCCCCAGCCCCCGAGCATGGAAGTTCTCCTGGCTAGTACTTAGGCTTCAGAATGAGGTCTGGATGTGAGTCCTACTTCTGCCACTTGCTAGCTATGTACTCTTGGCAAATGACTGTCACTTCTCTGTGCCTATTTTCCATCAACCAAATGTACATAATTAGAACACCTCATGGATTATTTTTTTAATTATTATTGATTTTTTTGTTTTCAGTATTGTTTTTAAGACAAGATCTTTCTATGTAATCCAGCCTGACCTTGAACTCACTACATGGCTGGCCTCAAACTTGGGATTGCAGACATTTGCCACCAAACCCAGCTCTCATATTCTGAGGGCCAACTGAGACTACGGGTTTGAAGTCATTCTATAGAGCAGAGAATCCTGGGGAAATGTCACTGCTGCTGACTCCCAGCTTCCCAGTTCATTGAGTGTTGCTCATTTCATTGTCAGAAACAGTTCCATCCATCTCCCTACCTGGACCAGCTCATTGAAGGCAGTAAGAAATGACATGGTCAAGCACTTGGGAAGCTGAGGCAGGACGATTGCCCGGAATTTGACACCATCATGGGCTACCTAAAGAGTTCAAAGCCAGCCTGAACTACACAGTGAGACCCTGTCTCAGAACTAACAAAAAGAAATGGCATGTTCAGTATTTAACCATTTAAAGCCCTCTTTAATACAGCAGAGGACAACATCTTCTGCCATTCATTTCCACTAAGGAAATAAGCATTAGAGGTAAACAAGCCAACTGGTCCCTGCAAGAGGGATTGAAGGATAGAAATGGTTGGTTAGGTCTCCATCATCTGTCTTAAAATGATGGGGAGCTAGGGGAAAAGACCTGCAGATGCTGAGAGCAGACAGAGATGGGCTCCTAGGAGGAGAGAGACCTGGGGAGTTTAGGGCTGCCACAGGAGACAGGCCGGGTGGCCCAGAGGTGGAGGAGGCCTGGGGAAATCAGAGGCCATTGCTCTGAAACCCAGGTACACTGCAACTTTGGTCCTCCACTGGCCTGGGCACTTTATCCCCCTGCCCCTCTCTAGACCCCCAGGCCCCACCTGTCACAGCTTGGCTCCTGCACAGGCAAGTGTTGAGGGGGCAAGGCCCCCATGGCAGCTGCAGTGCAGAGGGTTCCCCAAGGAGGCCGCTTCTGTCTTCTCCAGCCCTCAATCTGCTCTCAGCATGACTCAGCTAATTTCCTGAAACACAGTTTCTCCATGGTGACCACACTCTGGCTGTCACTTTCCTTTACCTCTGCTCCAGCCCAAGTCATCGCTGATTTCCAAAAGTTTTGCACTCCCCAGGTGAACTGGGCGAGGGCACCGTGCATCTGCCTGTCCCTCCACCATTCAGATGTCACCACTAAGTTCTGTGGCTTCTGCCACTGGTCTTCCAGATCCCACCAACGAACAGGGGATGAAGTTGGCATTGTACGTTTTCCCAAGGCCTACATGAACACCCTTTCCTCCTTTTGGCTAATCCTCCTCATACACCTTCTAGAGCCAAGCACAAGTACCTACAGACTCCACAGGAATAATCCAGAAGGGTACACAGCTCTGCAAGCTGGCAGGGCTGGCAGGCGGATTGGTGAAGTACCATCGGTGCTGGGCAGGGGTCTCCCAGGACCAGTAGCTGGCTGAGCCAGAGGAAAGAGCTGCAGAAATAGAGGCAGAGAGGAAGGAAACCATACTTCAGGGAGCATCTATTCTGCACCAAGATGCATGGCCAACCAGGCGTGGTATACACTTCTGTTATCCCAGCACTCAGGAGGCTGAGGCAAGAGGATCACTGTACATTTGAGGCCAGTCTGGGCTATAAAGTATGTTCAAAGCCAACCTGAACTTCAGAGTAAGACTGTATCTCAAAAAAAACAAAACAAAACAAAACAAAACAAAAACCAAAAGCGCGGATGGCTTCCATCCATATTATCTTAGTAGCTCTCTGCTACAACTGTAGTGACAGGTGTTACTGTCTTCATGTATGTAGATAGGAAATGGAAGTCCAAGGAGGGTTGAATACTCTCCTGAGGTCACACAGCTACTAAGCCTCAGCTCCTGGCTTGGAGCCTCTCAGATTCGGGTTCTGTCCTGTGTGGGGTGTGCTCAGGAAACAGGAGCAGCCCAGTTTGTCTGGAGCACAGGGTGTGTGGAGGGAGGTGGGACTGTCCCCCTTGGTTGTGCCCACACTGTCTCTGGAAACAAATACCATCCCTCCAGGAGGCTGGGGGCAAGGAGCCAAGCCCTTAGGACTTCAGGACAACTGCACACTCATTCAGTGAGCACCCTTCCTGCTATTCCCAGTCCTGCCCTCTCCCTTCTGAGCCCAAGAGTCTCCTGCTGCCCCTAGAATCCCCTCTGGCTTTGCTCCTGTCCTCTGTGTGCCACCTCCCAGCTGCTGCCTCTCTGCTCCCAGTGCCCTCCTCAGGAAAACATCTCCAGTGACCCTGCCCAGGCTTGCAGCCTAACTCCTTTGTCTACTGGTTTGGTTGGGATTTTTTTTTTTTTTTTTTTGAGGTGAGCTCTCACTGTGTGGAGCAGTTCAAATGGCCTTGAACTCTACATAATGCAGGCTGGTCTTTTTTTTTTTTTTTTTTTTTTTTTTTTTTTTGTCTTTTTCATTTTTATCGGTACCAGGGATTGAACTCACGACTGCCTGCTTGAAGGCAGGCGCTTATGCCGCTGAGCTAAATCCCCAGCCCCGTGCAGGCTGGTCTTGAGCCAGCCTCAGCTCTTGGTTGTCACATTTAGGGACTCCATGGTTCTCTGGTCCTTGAAGCTCTCTCCTCTGCATGTATCTGATCTTCTGCCCCCAACGTCTCCCTGGAATCTTCTCTGGAAATCCTAGACCAGTGATGGCGAATCTTTTAGAGATAAGCACCCAAACTGTGACCCAAAACCCACCTTACTTATCACAAAGCAACAACTTCTGCATTAAGCCTAAATATCGAGGTTTTAGGTTAGAAAAAAAGACTCATACGTTAACATCTTTTGTCTTAAAAGGAAAGCAAATAACACACATGCCATAGGGTCGCCCCCACTGTCCTAGATTGCACTGCTCTGTCCCATCAGGCCAGGACTGGGTTCCCACCTCTTTCCTCAGCACAGTGCAGGCTGGAAGCTCAGGGCAGTCTTCCGAGGTGCGACGTGGGCTCTAAGTACAGCAGGCTGAAGAGGCCCTGCACAAATCTATCCTTTCATTGTGTAATGGTGAAGCTGAGTCCCAGGAGAGTGAAGAATGCTATATATCTGAGGTCACATGGCTCAAAGGAGGTCTCCTGGGTCCACATTCAGAAGTTTACCCATGCAGTAAGTATATCTCAAGAGTTACAGGTGGGTACAGCTATCAGGTCCCTGATGCATGAGAGGGATAAACACATGCAGTAATCACACAGATACACAACTGCTCACCATGAGCTGTGCTAGGAAAGTTCTTCTTTCAATTTTATTTTTATTAGTCCATGTTGCAGTACATATGATTGCATTCATCGTGGAGAGCTGGTCCATGTGCGGCATACAGCTTAAATCCTTTTGCTTCTCTTTTCCTCCCTTCCTTCCATCCTTCCTCAGGAAAGGAAGTTGGATAGAGTGAGCCATGGGCGTGCAGGATAAGGGACCTCTTCTAAGCTGGAAAGTCAGGAGAGGCTTCTCCAAGAGATGACCTTTGTCATGAAAGGTAAATAGCAGCACACAGAGTTAACTAGATCTTTCTAAGGAGGAGGATAAAGGTCTTCTAGGCAGGAGAAATCATGAGTGAAGTAGGAACAAGACAAGCTCAGAAAGAAGTCTGGATGCCTGCAGTCAGAGTGACAGGGAGATGGGGAAGAGTCGGAGGCCATGGAAGTCCACAGGGCCTGAGCCCAGGGCCAAGAGGCCACCTTGGGGTTCTGCCTGCAGTCTCTGTGGCATGGAGAGCCACACAGAAGGAGAGCAGGACAATAATGGGATGCCTCTGAACATTCCATTCCCACCTCCAGGCCTTCTCTTACCTCTCTGGCACGCTAGAGATCATCATTAGGGGAGTTTTATGCAGCTCTGCATTCCTCTCTGTAGCTAGCCCTGTACAGAGTGGTGCTTCATAAATACGCATTGATTAACCTCTCGGTGCACAGCCCTGCTGATTGCACGCTCTCCGGAAGCGCCCTGTCTTTGGCTTCCATGCTGCTTTGCACGTCAGCTCTCTCACATTCTGACTCCTCCACCCTTCTCTTTCCCACTGTTTCATGCTTATCTGCTTTTTCATCATTGGTTTTTTGTTGGTCAGTTGGTTGGTTTGCTGTATCAGGCATCAGACTCAAGACTTCACACATGCTAGGCAGGTACACTACCACTTAGCTACAGCCCTGGTCCCTTTCTAAATTTTCGAAACTCACTAAGTTGCCCGGGAGGGGCTCAGGTTGACAGTCTTCCTGCCTCAACCTCTTCTGTCACTGGGGGCTACAGGTGGACACCACCATGCCCAGCTTCTGCCCTCTTTCTTCTTTTCCTGATCTCCCCTGGGCTATCTGGTGACCCCCAACAGTGGGACTCCCTTTCTTCTGGGGCAAGTTGTCTGTCATCACTAGACCTGGCCCACAGAAAGCACCCAATGCGTTTCTTTCCTTGGTGCTGGGGCTTGAACTGCATGCTAAGTGCCTGTTTTACCACTGAGCTACATCTCCCACCCATCACCAATGATTCGATGAGACTTAGACTTACATATCATGTGACTCCAGATGAATTTCAAATTAGTCTGCAATGTCAGTCTACTGTGGAGACTGAGGTCGGGACAGTAGTCACCTATGGGAAAACAAGAGGGACAGAGCACCGGGAGTCTGCAGCAGGCCATCTGGAAATGCTCATCTGTGGTAGTGGTCCAGGCGTCAGCACATGAGAAAATTCCTGAGACTACTGCTCTCACTGTGCATGGTGTGTCTCTACGCAAAAGGAGACAAAAGCAGTGTCCCAGCATCACTCTGCTGAGTGGAGGGGCCCCTCTCTAACCACTTTACCTGTCCACCACAAGGCCCATCTCATCCACTGCCCGATACTCTGTTTCTAGTAGCTTGGTTCCCAAATCTCAGGCAATCTGCTCCACAGCATGGCCATGGTCCCTCATCACACAGCCTCCCAAGACCCAGGAACACAAACTGTGGTCACACAGAATGACACTGATCCTCGAGACATGTCGCCCTTGTGACTATGCCACACGGCAAAAACAAGGTGAATCGGGAGCTCTTTTTAGGCAAAGAATTGCAAGTTCAAGGCTGGCTAGCCCCTGTCTTGAATATACAGACAAGCAAGGAATTTTCTCTGGCTGTGGGTGGAAGAGGAAGCTGGAGGCACCTGAACATAACGATGGTATGCTGCTCTGGGTTTTGAAGACAGAGAGGCCAGAGGGCAGTTTCTAGGTGTTGAGAGTGACCCTTCATGACAGCCCACAAGGAAACAGGAGCCACAGCAAGAGACTGAATTCTAATAACAAAAATGAGGCTCTGCCTGGTGGTGCATTCCACTAATCCCAGCACTCTAGGAGTCAGAAGCAGAAGGACTGCAGGTTCAAGCCCAACCTGAGCAATTTAGTGCCTTAGTGAGACCTTGTCTCAAAATAAAAAAGAAAAAATGTCCTGGGGATAGAACTTTGTGTGAAGGCCCTGGGTTCAATCTTAATACAGAAAAAGAACACAGGAACAAGTGTTAAGCACCCCCCTGCAGGGTTTAGGTGTAGACTGGCCAGTGCTTTGATTTCAGCTTTGTGAGACTAAGAGAAAAATCAAGCATGCCTGCATTCTGACCTCCAGGACCATGAGATTTCAAAATGGGTGTTTTTTTTTTAATCCACTATGTTTAAGGTAAATTATGACAGCAGCCATAGACAACTAATACACATCTTAAATTCCATCCATGCACGAGCCCTTCCTTAGGGAAGGGCTGCATTTCCATCCCTTCCTTACCCTTCCTCTTCTTCCACGGTGGCTCAGACCCCTGACCTCAGTCTAGCCATTTGAAATATTCACCTGCAAACCTCTCTCCCTAAACTCATCCATCCTACTCCCTGCCACCAGAATTATTTTCCAGTCACAAACTTGCCCACATCCTTCTCCTGCTCAAAAAGCTTCCATGGCACGATAGCTTGGTGGTTATATTCTGGAACCAGGATGAGGTATAAAATCCACTCCACTTCTTAGTAGTAGGTGATCCAGAGCAAGATGGTTAACCCCCTATCAATTGCAAGTAATAGTACTATCTTCCTATGGCAGCTTCATAGATTAAATGAAGTAAGCACGCAAAACGCAGTTAAGACCGGGCCCAGCACAGACAAGGACTACACTATGTGAAGGTGGTGACTGATGGATAGCAGCAGCAGCGTCTGTCTTCCACCTGGCCAACAGAGCCTCCCGCAGCTGCACTTCACAGCCTCAGCCCCGACACACGGCACACGCCTCGCCAGCTCTCTGTCTCGCCCTTCTCTGTTCACCTGCCCTTTTTCCTTCTGTCTGCATCAGCAATCCAATTCACTGATTCACAGGGTCCAGGCTCCACAGCCTCAGGGCTGCTAATGACACAAGCTAACTTATGTCACACATGGGCTTAGCCCTTCCTATGGCTCTCACAGCTCTCCAGATACAACCCCAGATTACTTCCAAAGGCCCCAGGGAGCCAGGCCACCCGGCTGCTCACATCCCCAGCCTGTGGCACTCTGGCCTCACCATCCCGACCCTCTGTCCCGGGCTGCCCCCTACTCTCTCCTCTCTCTTTTTCTTCATACTTAGTGCCCACTTGTCCTTCCATTTCCTGCCTAACTCCCCGGAGAACTCCTAGCCTCCTGACCAGGCCAAACTGCTCTCACTGGCTCTCAGAAAGCTCCTGCAGGGCAGATCAGAGGAACAAGTCACACAGCCCGTGGGCTTCTTTACCACCGTGAGTCCCACACACCCCGCCCCCCAGCGAGAGCTCCAAGTCTGGCTAGAGCCTAAGTGTCTGGAAAAGGAATGAACGAATAAAATGCCCAGATGAGTTGCTTTGTCAGCTCATCTGGACTTTCCCCCACCAAGGTGGTCTGGCCCCACACTGTGGCTTGTGTACCCCACTTCCCAACGGGCTTTCCTGCCAACTCCATCCTGTGAATCCATCCAAACACAGCAATCTTGGCCACGGGTCATCTTGACCAAGTATGAGCCACACCTCTCTCCTTGTCCCACAGAAACCATCTGTGTGCTACACACTTCCTTTCTGACTGTGAAAATATCACATGCACGTTGCAGAAATCTTAGATACCATGATGATGTATAAAATAGGAAATAAAAAATTAAACACTTCAAATGTTACAACCCAGAGATAATTGCTACTTTTAATATAGAATACATCTACCCATTTTCCCACATGTAACTATGAAAACATTTTTAAACCTCATAACAAATAAATGTGGTACATATTAATCTCCCCATTTGCAAAAGTTTAGACAAAAAGTTTAGATGAATTTAAGAACTTGTTTAAAGAGTCAATAATCTGGAGCTTTGGAGGTACAAGTACAGCCAAAAATCTTCATTAAGGGTAACTCAAGTTTCAGTCTACTCAAAAGCTCATGACATAGCAAAAGATTTTGTTTAGCAACAAAAATTGTTGAAAGAAGAGAAACCAAGCAAGCCTTCCCTTGAAGCAGGCTCTGCCATGCGGATCAGACAGGGCCTCAGCCAGAAGAGAAACCACTCCTTCCTGTGAGCCAGCTGGAGTGGGCTGAAAAACCAGAAGAGCATCCCCTCCGCTGCTGATTGGGAAGACTCAGGGTGAGATGTTGGCGACTGAGAGAAAGGGGACAGCTCCATGCGTGTGTGGGTTGGTTGACTCTGCAGGCCTAGGGCTGGTGCTCTGGGCATCCACCTGAAGGATGTAGTGTGCACTGTGTCAGCTGTGGGGATTTCCTGTTGTGTTTCTGAACTCCAGTGTTTTGCTCCATTGTACTGTTTTGTTTTATCCCTGTCCCTGTATCTGGCAACCTGAGCAACTATTTTGAAAGTACCAATGTGCAGTACTGTTCATTGTTTTGTTTTGTTCCAATTTATTGTTTTGTTTTATTCAATATTGTGTTTTTGATCAGTCTTATTGTTTTGTGCTGTTTGACTTTGCTACATCTGATGGTATGGACAACTACTGTGATGATAACAAGATACATTATGGTAGCCATGGTTGATTCCTATTTTCCTGTTTTGAAGTTCTGTTCCACTCTCACTGCTTAGTTTTGATTGACTTGATTCAGTTTTGTTTTGTTGGACTTTATTCTCCTTAAAATAAAGTAAAATAAAAAGAACTTGTGTAAAGCCAAAAGACCAGAATAAAACAGGACCATGGCTGTAACCCAAGCTGCTACCTCCCTAGCTCTTCTGCTCTTCGTGGGTATATCACATGCCCAGGTAGGTGCCTCTGCCTCTGCCTCTGCCTCACTCTTCTGACAGCACTGCTCTCTCCCCTCCCTGCCCAAAAGCCAGACCCCTCTGACACAGTCCCTTTAAGCCCAGCAATGCTGCCTCCAGAATAGACACTCTGGCAACCTTGTACACACTAATATCCACTCAGTGAATAACCAGCACATCCGCAAAACATGATGCTGCACCGTTATGAAAAGAACAAGAATACTATACCTCCAAATAGTTGTGGTTTGTTTTATTTTGTTTGTTGTGCTACTGAGGACTGAACTCAGGAGTGCTTTAGTACTGAGCTATATCCCCAAACCTTTTATAATTAATCAATTAATTAATTAGAGCCAGGGTCTTGCAAAATTGCTTAGGCTGGCCTTGAACTTACAGTTCTCCTGCCTCAACCTCCAGAAGAGATAGTTGGGTTTGTTGTCATTTGAAACAGAATCTCACTCCATAATCCAAGCTGGCTTCGAATTTGCTCTGAGGCCCAGACTGGCCCTGAGTTCATGATCCTTTTGCCTCAGTCTCCAAAGTGGTGAGATAATAGGCATGCACCCTCATGCCAGCTGCTAATAAAAAAAGATGTAGAAAGACATGAATAATTTACTACCACTTATGAATGTAGAGTATTCCCATAAAAACACACAAATACACTAGTAGTTAGTTTTAGAAAGGAGACAGAAAGTGAAGGATGTGAGGAGTCTTGATTTGCATCTTGTGTCATGCTTAAATTTTTCCATATCCACATATAAGTGAAAAAAAAACCAGGCCATCCCCTGTGTGTGTGTGTGTGTGTGTGTGCACGTATGTGTCTGTGTGCACACTTATGGCACGGGGTTCCCTGCTTCCCAATGAGGCTCATCTGTCTCCTGTTTGTGGGGTCTGAAGACCTTTGCTTCCCTATCAGGCAGGTAAGATTCTACAAGGCCAAGGACTTTCCTTGTAGCCCCAACCCGACCACCCACTACCTGTGAAACTTCGAACAGTCACTTGACCTTCCTTGGCAGGTGATGAGTTCTCCACCAGCCTGCTAGCTTCCTGGTCCTCCCCCACTCTGTGCCCTCTGCCTGTTCTCTCTTCTGTCTTGACGGTTCTTCCCCCATGAACTAGCTTTCCCATCATCCTGGAAGAAAGAGCTGTCACTTCTTGGGCCAGGCTCTTCCCCTTGCTCTGCTCTCGCAAGCCCATTGCCTTGGCAGGAACAATTCAGCCGCTGTGTACCCTCCCAGTCACCACACTCTGCAAAGGCAAGAGCCACATGCCCATCACTCAGGTGCAGGACTGGAGATGCCATGTGAGCTCAGTAGTTGTTTTCTTCCTGACTAGACAGTTGCATCTCCCTGTCCTGCTCCTGGGTCTGGAAGAGCACTAGTGTGCTCCCCT